TCGGAAACCACTATAAATTCTTTGAAGGAAACATCAAATTTCAGTGAAAACCCAGACTTGAAACCTCGTATTGCTCAATCGATCCAACACATATATCAATCGCCTTGGATAGTGTATCGCTCCCAATTCTTTGTCGGATCGTATATCTGCACAATGAAGACACCAGGATTTACAATCAAACGGAAGAAGGTAAAAAAAAAATAACTCGTATAAGGTTACCGAGTATAGTGAAAAAAACTAGAGATAGAGTTTACCTCCCATCTTGAAGCTGGAAATATATGCTTTTTCTTTTCCACATAAATCACAATAGTCGTGCAGATCGATAAATGCATTATAATTGATATATTCAATCAGCTAGTATGGCATATATATGTCAACCCCAATACAGAGCACAAACAATACATACACATACATACATACATAAACCCCTCAAGAATATTGGAGAGATGGTGTTTCATCAAATTTATTGGAGTAGCAAACACTTCCTCACCGTCTTCTGCCATTCCTTTTCTCCATTTTTCTACCACAACATAAATATCGTTCGACGACGGTGAAGAGAGAGGAACTAGGGGTAGGGGCTGGGGCGGCGCCGGTGGGGGATGGGGCGGCGCCGGATGGGGGCTGAGGCGGCGCCAGGTGGGGCTGGGGGGCGCCGGTGGAGGCTGGGGTAGGGCCGATGGGGGCTGGGCCGTCGCTGGGTGGAGGCTGGGTAGCGCCGGTGGGGAGAGAAGAAGAGTTTATCGAAAGGAGAGATGCAACGGTGAATAGAAAAAAAAGGAAAAATAAAATCTAGAGAGAAAAATATTAGGTATATTTATAATAAGGTAAGGGTATAATTGTGATAGTTACTTAATTTTTATTAATAAAAGATATTTTGGATTTTTCTTAAAATTAACAAATAAATTTGGGTTCATTGTAATTACACTTATGTGATGAGGGGTTTTTGACAAATAATCCCTAATTAAAAATGAAAATAGTCAAATACTCTAAATCCTTATCTCGAAATTTAAACAAAAAACAAAAACATGTGGTATTTAGTTTGACAATGTCTTAAGCATCAACCAAGTGATATTAATTGCGTGGTTGCATTGGAGAGTTGAATGAAAACGTACAAAAGTAATAAATATTGTTATAATGCCAGCGTACTATTAAACCCTTTTTTTCAATTAAAGTTTTTTTTTTTTCTTTCTAAAACGTTTTTATTCCATTAAATACTTATGAAAGTACAAGGGGACCTCGTTAAAAACATTGTGGGCCTACACAAGGAAAAGAGTACCCTTGCAAACGAAAGGAATAAAAACGGGATAAACAAAGACCTATAAAGTCTATTACAAAAAGGCCCAAATATAGGGCTAAAAAGGAAAATAAATAGACTACTATGCTGCAGCTATATCTCGAAAATTGCTAGTATGCCCCCACGGGGTGAAAGGGCAAATAAACAAAAGCTCCTCTCCCAAATTGCTGCTTCTTTGAAGCAAATCCGAAAATTGCAGATAATATCCAAGGCAGGGGCTGAAGGGAAATAAACACAAAGCCGAAAGAGCTAGGCTAATCCACCAAATAAAACCATCATGAACGATAATTAGCAAAATGCTATTGTTTAATAAAAGGATACTTTACAAATAAATCCATCAATGAGTATTTATTCATAAAAGGCCCAGACAATAAACTATTTTACAAAAAAATCAACACATGGTCCAGAGGTTTGTAAAAGACTAATATAGCCCCTTACATTATAATATGCTCCAATTTCATTATTTAATTTAATTTAACCTCAATTTGACCCCAAATTTCATAAATTATTCAATTTTGGCCCAAAACACAATTTTATGGACAATTTGGTCCGTCACCGCCGGTCTCCGGCGTTAATTTTTTTCCCTGATTTTTTCGTCGGTTTCCGTCTTGACTTTTACAATAATTAGTGAAGAATTTGAAATTCCAAAATGAGAGAAAAGACAAAGTTTATTATTAGCATTCAAGTGATAGAGATGAACGAGCAGGCATGGGCTGATTTTGGTGAACTTAAATGAATTAATTTCGAGCCCAAATTGGAGCAAGGGAGTTGAAGTTAGAGGTATAAGTTAAGGCTTAATGTTCGGCCCAAGAGTTATTATTTGCGTTTTTAATTAGTTATTGATTGTTATGAGTCTTTGTTTTAATTAGTTTTCTAGTTTGATAGGATTTATTGATTTCCTAGTTGGATAGGTTGTTATTTCCTTTCTCTGAGATTGTTTAGGAGTCTTTTTAGAGGTTATAAATAACTCCATTATGTCATGCACTTAAATCAACACTTTTATCAATAAAATTTCGTTAGTTTTATTCTCTCTTTTGTTCATAAGAACTTCTTGAACTTATCGGAGGATTCTGTGGTGTTCATCGACTTATCAAACAATCTTTCACAATTGTTTGTGGCGTCTTCATATACCAAGGTTCTTTCATCTTCATAGGAAAAGGGTCAAGTTTCCACCTTCATAGAAACCTCTAGTGGACGATCCTGGTTTGATATCAGAGTATTGATATGGGGTTTTGTCACATGTTGGCAAGGTTCATATCATTACTCCGTCAATACTCAAACAAAACAAAAGACCCAAAAAAATAGTAATGTTGATGTCGTGGACAATAATATTATTGTGTTTACAATTATTTTACTGTCAACAACAGTAATATATTTACGCTGAATTGCCAGAAAATCAAACAAAAAAATAATAATATTGTCGTTGACTCTAATTGTATTGTCAACGACAGTACAATTACATAAATGAACTATCAACCACAGCACAATTACGTTAATGTACTGTCAACGATAGTATAATTACGTTAATGTACTGTCAGTGATAGTATAATTACTGTTAATGACAGTACAATTACTGTCAATGTTTAGCGGCGGGCTTGAAAAAACGGATACAAATTTAGGAGGACAAAAAAAAAATCACTAAAAAAAAGTCAATGCCGGAAACCGGCTTTTACACCCCCCGTCTCCGACAATTTAATTTTCCGTTAATTAGCATATATTCAGTTAACATGATTTTATCTCTTATGTGCGTTTATTAATTTAAGATTTTATTTATGTGATAACCGGTGAAATTTCATATATAATGCATTAGTCCAAAATAATTTTGGACGAATTTAAATTGATGATATTAGTTAATTATTATATCTAGAGATTAATAATACTCCTTTGTTTTGCTAGAACTTATTTATTATATTGTTTCTAAAATCACATATTTGATTAATTGAAAATTAATATTTTTTTTGTTCAATAAAATTATTTGTAAGAAAAATAAAAAAATGTCTCCTTATTACTCCCTCAATTTTCGGCCACCATGGTACAACACACCAAAAAAATTTCTTAAGTACAACCCTTGTCTAGGTGAGATCACGTGCATTCAGATTTTCCTTTTTGAAATTGTTTTTGAGGGATAGTAAAATGAAATGGCAAAGAAGTCCCTCTACATTATTTCAAAGTTTGCCGGCATTGCAAAAAGGCCACTCCCCTATTCTTAATCATTAAGCTTGCAAGTCCCCACAACTCTATATATAGAACCCAAGCCCTCATACATTTTCTCATCTTCTCTACGCATCCTAAAGATCAAAGATCAAAATCTCTTTCTATTCTTCTCCCATTTTCGAAATTAGTGGTGTAGGAAAGCCCCAAAATCTCTCCTTCAAGAGTAAAATTATTGGCCAAAGGAGTAAAGTCATCTTCCTCTTCTTTATTTTCTTCATTTTCGAAATCTCAAGAAGCTAAGCTTCTTCTTCCTCTCTCTCTAAATTTTCTTCTCCTCCTTGTAGAAAGGAAAGAACACCCTTCCAAATTTTCTAAGAAGAACAAGGTCAGGATTTTCGAATTCTTGCTACAAGTGCTTCAACACCAATAGTATTTTTCTTCTCTTTAATTTCTTGTTAATGTTCTTGGGATGACCGAAAACTAAAGGATGAAGAAAATAAAATATTGTGTTGAATTTATGCTTTGATCATCAATGCATATAACAATCTAAGTTTTAAGTGAAATAATCTTGAAGAACTAACGATAATATAATAATTTAATTTTTATGGATGTATATATATACTAGACGTACGTGATCTTAAGGAAACTTGGATCCATGGTTTTCGTAAACCTACGTGGTCGAAGAAAGTACTTGATCCACGGTTTATTTATAATCTCTATGTGCTATATATAAATATATATTTTTATGTGTGTGTATATATATATGGATTATTTTGGAGACCCCCCTAATTTCGAAATTATATCCATCTAACCACCATGCGGATACCACCCTATGGCTAACACCCCTAGTTTTGAAAATATTTTGAAAGACCCCCCTGGGCATACATGAAGTACCTAGAATGCCCTTAGTAGCATTTTACATGATCGCGGACGTTGCCATGTACACGTGATCCCAGCGTATTAATTCCCTGTGAATGCGGAAAACGTGCGACGTGATAAGAAAACTGAATTTTCTTCGTGATTTGGTGAGATATTCGTTTCGTTTCAAACATTGCGGATTTCGTATTCGCTGTAAGTTGTGGATCTCTGTATCTGTCAGTTCGAATACGCCGACGTTATCTATGTAAGTGTTTTTTAAATCTGAATTCATCAGAATTAATTGTTCACGAATATTTTGTAATTATGCAAATGGTACATAATTTTTGTAGATTTTGTGTTTTTTGTCTTAAGATGTGTTAGTGGAGTGATCCTATGTTGATGTACGATGAGTTTTTGTGTGTTTCATTTGGTAGTTGTATGTAGTAATGTTTATCAGACTTCGCGTATTTTAGCGTTTGATGACAATTTGTATACATATGTAAGATTTTTTGTAGGATCTGTTATAGTTTAGCGTCAGATGTATTTTTTTTGTTGTTAATTGTTATTGAGGTCGATGAAGGAGTTCATGCAGTGTGTTCGTGTTTAAGTTCTTTTCGATCTGATGTGTTTAACTGACAGTTGTACATAGTTAGGTTGACGTTTGTTTTCAATTATTTCAGAGTTCCGTCTCAATATGGCGTCATGTGTGACTCTCGTTCTGAAATTTGATAGCGTTTTTGGGGTGAAAAATTGTACGGGGGATTTTACTTTTGATGAGTTAATTGGATTTGTGAGCACGAAGTTTAATGGACTGCAGCGTAACAACGTGGTTATGTCGTACAATATACCCGGTGTTGGTGAGGGTGTGTTGGGTGACGACGATGATGTTTTGTTCATGTTGTCTTCTATGAGGGATTTGTCAATGAGTCGGATTGATGTAGTTATAAAACAAAGGATGGGTGATAGTGGGGGTTTGGTTGGGTTGGCTCCGGTGTTACCTAATACGTATGAATGGGATGTTGATCGAGGTGTTTTTAGCGTTAATCCGTGTAGCTTGGTGACAGCAGCCCCCCCGCAGTTGATGAGTGCTAGTTGGGCAAATCTTATTACAAATGTGGGGTAAGTGTTTGAAGGTGGTGCGAAGGATTTTAGGAAGGCGTTATGTCTTTATGCTATTGAGATGGGTTTTGAATTCCGGTATGTGAAGAATGAGCGTGTTAGGGTCACTGCAGTTTGCAAGGATAGGGATGTGAATGACTGTATGTGGAGGATTCATGCATCGATTGAGCATGCCAATGGTTACTTCTATATTCGAAGATATGTCAAGCATCACACCTGTGGCAGTGGATTTGCTACGTCTAGTAAGAAGAGGTTGACGTTGGATATAATTGCTGACTTGGTGATGTGCGAAGTGAGATCTAAGCCTGGGTGGGTGGCCAACGATGTGGTTGTCCATGCTAAACTTCATTTTGGTATTGATATCAGTTACTATGTCGGTTGGAGAACTATTCAGGCTTCTAGGGAACACATTTTTGGTAGTCACACATCATCGTATTCTTATTTGCCATCCTATTTTGATGAACTTGTCAGGACCAATCCCGAAAGTGTATGTCATCTTGGTATCGATCAAGCAACGAATCGGTTTAGGTGATGTTTTTTTGCTGTTGGTGTTTGTTTAATGGGTTTTAAGTCATGTCAGCCTGTGTTGTCCGTTGATGGTACGTTCTTGAAGGGGAAATATAGGGGGATTTTGCTTGCTGTTGTTGGTAAGGATGGTCAAAATGGAGAGTTAGTAATGGATTTTTTGTCTAAATAACTGTACATTACTACACACTGTTGAGTTTTTGTTTCCTAATTTTAGGTTGTATTTTTTTTCCAGCATTATTCTCGGTGGCTTTTGCTGTTGTCAATGAGGAGACTGATTGTAACTGGACATACTTTTTTGAACACCTGAAGACAGCTATTGGGACAGAACGTACGTTGACATTTGTGTTGGACCGTAACAGCGGTATATTGAAAGGAGTGAAGGATATATTTCCAGGCTGTTTCCATTCTTTCTGTGTTTATCACATCCAGAAGAATCTTATGAACAAGTTCCGTGGTAGTACGGCCACTTTTCGTAAGGCGATATCTTTCCAATTTAATTCGTGTGTTTACGCAGCTACCAGGGAAGAATTTGATCAGAATATGGAGAACTTTAGGAAGAACGGTGGACCTAGGGTTGATAACTTTTTATGCAATTTACCTCCTGAAAATTGGGCTCATGCTTATTTTGGTGTGAAGAGATATGGACAGGTTGCGTCTAGTGGTGCAGAGTCGTGGAATTCGAGCTTATCTGATGTTCGTGGATTGCCGATAACAAATATGATTGATGGCATCAGAAGCAAAATGATGGTTGATATGTGTTTTGCTAGTAATGTTGCGTCGAAATGGACGTCTGTGTTGTGTAAAAAAGTCCAAGATTTGATTGATGGTCTTGTTCAAGATGCTAGAGTGATCACTGCTCGTCAAGCATCTGATGATATTTTTGAGGTGCTTAGCGATCCGGTTGCTGTTGTCGACATTCGTAGCAGAAGTTGCACTTGTAGGATGTGGCAGATCAATGGGCTGCCTTGTGTTCACGCGGTTTGTGTATTGTTTAAGTACAAAAAGACTGGTGGGTATGATTATTTTGACGAACATTTTCGTACATATTGTTATAGAAGAGTGTATTCTCACACCATTGTTCCTTTTGTTACTGATGTGGGTCGGCCTCCGGCTGTTGAAATTGGTGCGCCTGAGTTCAAGTCGCATTGTGGTAGGCCAAAGAACAAAAGAATTCCATCTGTTGGGGAAAACATATCAAGCAAGATGAAGTGCAGCAGGTGTAATCACATTGGCACCCACAATAAGAGAACCTGTATTAGGAACATGGCTTAGAAATGTAACAGTTTGACATTTCATTTTGCTGCATTGGTTTTATTGTTCGTTGATGCTTGAATTTGAACTAATTAGAAATGGTTGCTTTATTTTTTGCACTCGTGATGTGTTTTCATATTGGTTTGTTGATGGTGTGTCTAACTAGTTCAAGGTGTATTGGTCGTGTACACAACATCTTTCAGTTCATAGTTATATGTAGTTACATATAGTTTCTGGTAGTTATATTGTGATGAGAAGCATGTAATCAGACTATACGTTTGAATAGATGGCTTGAAACGATTACCTTGGAAATAAGCATCTTTAACTGGCTTAGGTTTTTTTGGTTATTTTGTAGATGTGTAGTGTTGTCTGAAATTGCATGTGGTGTACATGTAAACAAGTTTTTACTGTATTTCTTAAGCATAGATATATGTAGTTATATTTTTGTTATTGTATTCAAGTGTCGATTTATATTGTTGTTTATAGGTGACAAAGTCTCTAGAGCTAATTTATTGTTTGTGGATAAAAATCTGGGACACTGGGATATAGTTTTTAACTTTAATAAAGGAGCATACTACATAAAAGGTACATTTTTAAAGGAAAAAATATCGGTAATAGAAAAATATGTTTAATCCCAAGAGTCTGCAGACTCCCAATCGTGCTCGCCTGTCTCTTCATCTTCCAGGCAGTAGTCTGAAGATGAATCGTCAACAGACGGTGGAGGTGGAGAATCAGGTGGAGGTGGGGCGGAAACACACGGCGGCGTTGGTGGGTCGGGGAGGAAGAGGCAGAATGAACATATGTTGGTGTTCATTGTTTCGTGGTGAATCAGTGCGTGCTCACCCATTTTAAACTTTCGGTACTGATCCTGCCCCCCATGTGGCCCGTTAATGAGGTTGTATGCTGCCTCTTCTGGGTATACGTGTTCGCCATGTTTGAGAAGGAACTCCATCTCCCACCACAGTCTTTCGATTGCTACATCCGGAATCGCAAACATGATTCGTTTTTTTTTCTTTCAAAAAATTGTTGTTTTCGGCATGTATTTTGTGTGCTTTATGTATGTGTATAGGGGGGGGGGGGTGTTATATAGCGAATGGGAGTATTACTGGATTGGTTGGGACTCGAAAGGTTGCATTGAATGATATTTTTTTCGTAATACGGGCGACTGTTGGCAGCCAGCCGTCCGGATTTGAAATTTAAATTTTTCTTGGGGGGCGCGCGATGGGGTGGTCAAGGCGGGAAACACAGTAGTTATATGCAGTTAAGTGTAGTGAAATGTAGTATTATTGTTCCTTCATGTATTGTATCATGCAACACAATTTCAGACGTGGTGTAATTACCAATTTGGATAAATTATGTTAGAAATATAGTACGTTGCAATCACATTAATTCATGCAAAATAGAACCATATGTCAGGTGCGTGAATTACATCCAAAAAACAAACTTGTACAACAACAGAGTTAAAGTACTAATGGGGCTGAACATAAATAAATGCATTCATAACAAAAGCCTAGACGCTTCACAAAAAAGTTTTTATTGTTTCAACAGTTAATGCAAACTTATCACTTCAACCTGTAATGCAAGAAGGCCTCGACAATCTCTCTCCTCATACTGTTGATGCCTTCAACTGGGTTTGGATTTATGAGAGGTAGTTGGGAGAACAATTCTTTGATGATGTAGAGAACTATCACACCGCAATCTTTTGAATCCGGGTCCTGTTGCGGGGAGTCAGCAATGTCGAACAGGCTGGTACGAAGTGGGATGTCATTGATCTTTTGAGCACGGACGGACTTCTCTACGTATTTTTTCTGATAACCAGGGAGTACATTGAAAACAAAAAACGTTATGAGTTTGATTGAATTTGTCAATATGTTAATGGTAACCAATGTTGTCGGAACCCGACCGGACCGGCCGGTCCGACCGGTTCAACCGGGACCCGGAGATGGCGTGGTCCGGTTCGACACTAAGAACCGGAAAAGTCAAAAACCGGGGTCTGTTAATTTGGACCCGAAAAGGAGCCGGTTGAACCGCGAAAAACCGCCGGTTGAACCGCGAAAACCGCCGGTTGAACCAGTTGAAAACCGGATTCAATATCAAAACATAAAGGGAACACATGAAACTGAGGGGGAATAATGTTTGGTTTTCCGATTTGCTGCAGATTTAGTGAAAGATTTGATTATGTGTATTTAGTTGGGAAGGGGAAGCACCATTGTTGAATGGAATGAAAAAGAGGCAAAAGATGAAGAGACGACACAAAGAACTAAATTAGGGTTTGGGTTAATAATTTATATTGATTCTATTATTAAATAATTAATTATCATTTATACTGTAGAATTAATTTTCTTTGTGTTTCAAATATGATTATATAATTAATAAATAAAATAAAGAATTAATATGTTGATAGTTAAGGATCAGAATATGTTTTAATTTATATTAAGATAATCAATTTAAAATTATAAATAAATAATTTAAAATCAAAAAACCCGGGTCGACCCCGGTTGAACCGGTCCAACCGTGACCCAAATGTATAGCCGGTTTCGTGTCCGGTCCGGTTCTGAAAACATTGATGGTAACTTAAAGTAGTAATGTAACATGTCCTTTGCATCTGTTATGTACACATCCTTTCCGTTCGGTGTCTGAGGTTTGTAGGAGTTGTAGAAGCGCCATTCTTTGTTCACCTTGTCTAGTATCAGCAGTGTCCAATGATTGCCGCCAGATTCTGGATTTCCCATCGAGTGGGATGGGAATGCCAGATATCGATGATCTGACTGCGTTGCTGGTATCGTGAACGTTGTGTCTTTGGACTCACGGAGGTTGGTCTGGTAAATTTAGGATATGTAATTAAGCTTAGGTGTAGTGTAGTATATATTTCAGTGGCATGAAAATATTACCACTAGCATTGATGGGAAGACCATTGTTGTGCCCTTTAGTGATTCTTCCAGTCCTGGAATAGCGAACACACGGCCTTGAAGTTGTTGGGCTTCCAATATTTTGCAGTAGGAGTTCATAACCTGTTTTGTTTTTAGATGATATTATATTCGTGTGTGTGTACGATATCTGATTTAGTATGAATACTTACACCACTCGCAATTTCCTCTCCTTTTATCAGATGAAAGATGTCAGACATGATGACTTGCTCGGTTCCACGTGGGTTCTTCCAGCACGCAGTGCTGTAAACCGTAAAGTGTTATTGTTAGATATAGTAATATTCAGTTAAGTGTAGTTAGATATAGATATATAACACTCTTACTCTTGATGCATGAACGCATCAACGATAAGGTCGACGCGTATTCTGTCATCCTCCTCCATGTCTGTGCAAACCTTAAACATCTCGTATGAGTTGTCCCGTCTCACCTTTTTCACGCTTCGGGGGGTGTCATTTGGTTTGAGTGACCTTGTCCTCTTCCCAACAGCAGACCTTGGATCCAACTTTCCGGCTGCAACGTCTTCTTCCCGTATTTCGAAGTCGCTATCTAATTGATGCCCTGGACCAACCTTCTGGTCTAGTGCTTGTGCAAATGCGGCAACATTGGCCTCCAGTTCTGCTATTTTTAAATATTTTTGGTCGATGGATGTCTTCATTTTCTTTTCAATGCTCTTCAGTATTTGCACTTCTGCTTGTAATTCAATGATCAACATAACTATACATAACTACATATATCTACACATAACTATGTTGTAGCCTGGATTTGATGTCTCATCAAAATTATCCGGCTCGGCAGCAGTCTCACTTCGTTGTTCAGTAGGACCTGTTTTGTCTGTTTTATATTCATTTCTAGAGGTGGGTTGGGTCTGTGTCATGATGGAAAAGCTTGGACCATCGTACTCGTCTATTGTCTTGTACAAATTATCTTCCTGCTCCTTTTTCAGACGGGTCTCCAGAGCTGCCTTCTCATCCTCGAGGACCCGTATTGAGTTCTTCAGCATTATAACCTCCAAGTGTAGGTTATCGTTCTCTTCCTTATGGCTCTCCATTGAATGCATGTGCTGTTGCATGGTCGATATTTTTCCCTCCATTGTTCTCAATTTGTTTGATTCCTGATCCAATTTTGGTTTGAGATCTACAAGTTGTGCTGCTAGTCCTTTGTTTTCGTCTTCAAGTGTTGTATTTGCTGTTGTCAACATTTCAGCTTCATCAGACGCAATCATCGTTGACATCTCCGACTGCAGGTCTGCAATATGCTGCTTGTATTGATTCTCCTTTTCGATATGTTTTGCAATTTCCTCTCGCAGTGATGCGTAATTGCTGTCATGCCTGCCCAATGTACCTTGATGTTGGTTGTCCACGGCATCCGTTGTTTTCTGTTTTCTCTGCCTAACTGCAATGGGGACATTGTCTTCAATGTCTTCATCGGTAGAGTTGTCTGGATTGTCTTCGTCGCTGCTATATTCGATGATGATGTGACCATTTAATAGCGCCTCTTCGCGGTTTGTACCAACGATCTTGTTCGTGGAGATTGCTGATGATGTTATTGATGCAATTGGTTTAACGGACAGTAACTTTGCGATGTCTGTCAGGTTCCACCTTAGGAATCTTGGGAACGCGTTTGGTGTCGTTGACACTAGCAGGTTACTACGCTCGCATAGCCAGTACTGCAGACATTTTGAGGGGAGATTTGTTAGTTGCTTCGACAGAAACATCAATTCGCATCAACATAACTATACATAACTACATATATCTACACATAACTATGTTGTAGCCTGGATTTGATGTCTCATCAAAATTATCCGGCTCGGCAGCAGTCTCACTTCGTTGTTCAGTAGGACCTGTTTTGTCTGTTTTATATTCATTTCTAGAGGTGGGTTGGGTCTGTGTCATGATGGAAAAGCTTGGACCATCGTACTCGTCTATTGTCTTGTACAAATTATCTTCCTGCTCCTTTTTCAGACGGGTCTCCAGAGCTGCCTTCTCATCCTCGAGGACCCGTATTGAGTTCTTCAGCATTATAACCTCCAAGTGTAGGTTATCGTTCTCTTCCTTATGGCTCTCCATTGAATGCATGTGCTGTTGCATGGTCGAT